GCACACCGTACCCAGCTGGCACGGGAAATGGATGGGAAGGTAAACGACTGTCAGGCCTTGCTACGGGGGAACGCTGCTCCTCCATCCCACGCGCCTAGCATGCAGGAAGGACCTGGGCTTCAGTGCACCATTCTACGGATACGTCTGGTTATACGAATACTTCCATTTGGGAATCATCCTTCGAGGGACGAGCATCTTTATGTACATCATCCTGCACAGAAGTTCTTCCTTCCAGTCACAAGCAAAGAAGAACTCTCTTATCCTCAGCGCGCTTGAGCATGGAAAATCACCCCGTACAGTACACTACTCCGTACCGTCTCGTCCGATCAAGAGCTACCTGAGTCGTTCAACCTCACGCTAAACTGTTTGTTTCGTTCGCCCGGACCTTGCCAGCCGGGACAAATTCCGGACGGCCTTCTCGAAACCTGCAGCTCGTGCTTCTTTTGTTCCCAGTGGTTCCCTCCCCCCCAACCCAACTTTTCCCAAGCAGCGAGACTAAAACAGTTCGAGGCTGAACGTGGCCGGACGGTCCGGTAGCGCACTGGCCCTTTGAGAGACAAGGTGGTAGGCAAGGTGGTGGTAATACTTTACAAAGTAGGTAAAGACAAGGTGTTATTCAGGTAGTTTCTTCAACCATTTTACAAGCCTGTATTGACAAATGAGCTTCCTGGGTACACCACTCCGACCATAGCTCGCGCACATGCATTGCCATGCGTTCCCCAACTTACCATGCGTTCGGCTCGCCGTGCCTCCGTAGGAAGCTGACATCATCCCTTGGTTTACACTAATAGCCCTGGCCCTAATAAATTTTGTTGGGAGGAGGAGTAGGAGTTCGTTGTCAGCAGCCAGCCGCTGTTAAGAATTGTCTGGTAGTCAGCAAAATGCGCTGCCATCAATGATTTCAGTAATTTGATTTGGCAGAGAGTTGCTGTGTAATTATCTTAACCTAACTTCAGCTCAGAATCCAGAGGCTACTCACCATCCAAGGTAGGCAAGGCAACGACGAACAAGAACCCTAGATGCCGATGAGATCGTCAACCTCCCCCTCCCCCTTTGGAGATGTTCGATTTCCTCAATGAAACAAGCGATGGCCAAGGCCTCTGCCCCTCCCGAGTGATTCCCGTCTGAGCTACCCTTGCCGCACCCACTCTTCCCAAGTTCCCACCCATGCTCATCCTGGCAAAGCCTGGGTTGGACCCTCCCATGCGTCCCCATTTTTTGACCCTCGGGCTTGCGACGGTACCGATGGACGAGACAAGAATTGGAAGCATGCGCTCTTCTTCCTCTACCTCCTTCGCTGCATCCATGTGCCGTTGCCGGTTCCCCTTCAAGACACACACTCACTACCTTACCCACCGGCAAGCTAATCACTCACGCGCCTTTAGAAGTTTAGCCTTACCTTGACATGCTTGGAGTGACATTGGTCTCCTTGGGGGGGTTGCCTCTTGCAATAAAATGATACCGTCCCGCCCCTTGCTGGTGGTCTCAGATGCGAACATGTCCCTCTCTGCTCGTTTCTTGTTAACTTTTGCATTCCACCCCTCCTCCCATACATCCCATCCAGCTTGCTTTGCCCCCCTCCATCTTCTCTCGATAGTGTAGAGAGAGAGAGAGAGCTGATGCAGCATCCCAGTGACCTACCTACCTTGAGAGCTTCGGTTTTAGGTTCCCCGGCGGCTTGCTCAACTCAATTGACGTTTGGTTGAACTACGCCAGACCAACCCAGTCCAGTCCTGTACCTTACACCAAGAGCCATTGGGCTTTCCTCGGGTCTCGTACATAAAACACCGTAAACAGGACCTCCGCGACTCTACGTTACTGTATCTACGGACCGTCCCCCTTCGCGCGCAGCCATGCCCAAGCTCCCCTCGCTGGTCCCAGCGGCCGTCGCCAAACCTCTCTACCGCGGCACCGAGCTCGTGAGAGGCGCCGTCGGCAGCCTGACCTGGGGACCGGCCCTCTCCGTAGCCAAGCCTGCTATCCTCTCCGTCTTTTCGAAGATTGAGCGCGGCACCCTCCTGCTCGTCGACGAGCCCGCCGAGCTCCGGAGGGTGTTTGGCCAGAAGCTGGGCGCGAAGTACAACGAGAACCTGACCAACGGCGACCATGTGCCTCGCCGCGCGGATGCCGTGCCCCGCGTGGAGCTGGTCGTCAAGAGCGACGCGTTCTGGATGCGCCTGTTCTTGTTCGCCGACATGGGGTTTGCCGAGTCGTATATGCTGGGGGAGATTGAGTGCAAGGACTTGACTGCCTTCTTTCAGGTCAGTACACACGCAAGCTAGGGCGGGCGCTGTGGTCGAGGAGGGGTGGTGTGGCTAACATGACATGGCGTCACAGCTCTTCATCGTCAACCGCGAAGAAATGGGCAACGGAACGACCTGGATATCGAGCTTGTCCACCGCCGTCTCGAGCCTGGCGCGAACCACAAACACCCTGTCCAACGCCCTCCTCAACATCTCGGCGCACTACGACATCAGCAACGACATGTTCGCCGCCTTCCTGTCGCCGGACATGACGTACTCGTGCCCCATCTGGAAGCCTCAAAGCAGCGGCGACGACCCGAACGAGCCCGAAGAGACGCTGGAGCAGGCGCAAATGACCAAGCTGCACCGCTTCATCGACGGCGCGCGCATCAAGCCGTCGGACCACGTGCTGGAGATCGGCACGGGCTGGGGGTCCTTTGCGATCGAGGCGGTGAAGAAGACGGGCTGCCGCGTGACGAGCTTGACGCTCTCCAAGGAGCAAAAGGCGCTCGCGGAGCAGCGCATCGAGGCCGCGGGTTTCTCTGATCGTATCGACGTTAGGCTTACGGATTACCGAGAGCTGGAGACGCCGGGCAGGCCGTTTGACAAGATTGTGTCTATTGAGATGCTGGAGGCCGTTGGCCAGGAGTTCCTGGCGACGTATTTTGCGCAAATGGATAGGTTGCTGAAGAAGGATGGGGGTATCGCCGTCTTCCAGTGCATTACGATGCCCGAGGGTCGTCATGAGGCGTACTCTAAAGGCGAAGAGTGAGTCGTCGCAAAGCAGACTAAACCCACGAAATAGGGCCGCGTGCTGACAGACCGCAGTTTTATCAACCACTACATCTTCCCGGGAGGTTACCTTCCATCGATCACTCAGCTGTTGAACCACATCAGCAAGGAGTCCAAGGGAACCCTCATTGTCGAAAAGGTGGAGAACATTGGTGGCCACTACTCAAAAACCCTGAGACTATGGAAGGAGGAGTTCCTCCGCAACTTTGATTCCAAGATCCGTCCAGCGTTGAAGCGTGAGCATGATGACATGACTGAAGAAGAAATAGATGTATTTAGAAGGAAGTGGGAGGTAAGACACGTACCATCTATCCCTCTGGTGGTATTTCTAAGCTAATTTGGCCATGCAGTACTACTTCACATACTGCGAAGCCGGGTTCCGAACGAAAACGCTTGGCGACGCAATAATAACCGTGGGGCGCGAGGGCGCTCTGGAGTTGATGGAAGGCATTCCGCTATGAAGGAAGTGGACATAATTGTTGGAGGGAACAAAACCGTGTCATAATCTTGAAGACACGGATGCATGAGGCCCCGGGGCCTCGACGAGTTTTAAAGCAGCGTAGAGGATAAAGTCTCATTTCTTTTTCTTGGACTTATTAGACTTTGGCTTCGAATTTATCGAAGCGCCTCCGAATCGAGGAAAGCGGTTGGCGTGATCCACGTCGAATGCTGACTTGTGTTTCCTGAACAAGAGCATCGTCACCCGCGCATCTTCGATACTTGAGTGAGCACCGCCTTGGATGGTGATCTTGAGCAACTCCTCAGCGAGTCTTCTCAGCGCTGGCTTACTGCCGTTACCGTACTGCCGAAACCCCGGGTGCTTGGCTGTATCGCGGATGTCTTTACTCGGATGACTGAGTTTCAGGCAGTCCAGATCGTGCTTGATATCGTGGGCAACCACTATCCTGTCCTTGAGGAGCGCGGCGACTTCCTTCTGGACCTCGTCGAAGTCCCGGGCAAACCTCATGTGCTTGGGGAGGATCCCGCTCACAGCACTGCGCCAGTCCGTCACCCGCTCTTGGGGCTTCACATACGAGTCGTATACTTGGCGTCCGTGAAAGTCCACGATGCTCACACGAGCCAAGACGGATTCGTATCCTCCATCTCCAACACCAACCATTTCGCAGTCGATGGCGATGTACTTGCCCACTTCGAGCCCTTCTATGAGACCGGAGTTGATCTTATCCTTTTCGGATCTGAGCATGGAGTTGTTTTTCAGCCCGAGACCGTAGGCCTCAGCCAGTGCTTCCGATGAGATGTCATTGTCCTCGGCCCAGAGAGCAAGTGACGGCGATGGGCCGACCTTGGGTTCGACTTCAACCTTTGAGCTTTGTGCAACACCCATGCGTCCGTTCCTTGCTTTTGCGGTCTTTGGATTTGGGGTGTGCGTAGATACTCCTGAAGTTTTCGAGGCAATCTTCTTCTTCTTGGATTGTTGTTGGTCCGATGTTGAAGATTCTGCTTTTCTCTTGACACCTCCAGATGTCTTGGCCGGTGTAGTTGAGGAAGAAGACGGGCCTGCCGCTTTGAGTTGTGCCTGGAGCTTCTTCCAATTTGACGAGAGCTCAGGGGCCATATTCCCTGCTTCCGAATGAGACAACTTCGGAGATGACCGCTCGTGTATCGGCGAGAGGAAACTATGTGGTGTTTTTCGAAATATCGAAAACGGTAAATGAGAGACTCTTGAATGGGAAGTGAGCGATGAAAGTCGAGCCCAAATGAGAGAAAATGGAAAAATGCAATTATCGAGGTCGGGTGGAGTGGAGTCAGCACCTGGGCTAGCGCACCTTCCTTGCAGGGGTTCACGGCAATTTCTTTACCGCCTTTGGGCAGTTCGCGCTTTCTGCCACACCACCTTCCTGTTCCTGCAGCGGTTCAGTCATCTTTTGCGACCGAGAGCAGCAAACCGATTGTCGCATTTCATCAACATCCATCAACTATCAACCACCACATCGAGTATCCATCATGGCGGCACACGGCGCCAATGGCGAGGCCTCAGTCGGCTCTAGCGAGCCCCGACAAAAGGGAAAGGCCACCCCCGAAACCATCAGGTTCGTCATCCCAAACACCCCACCATCCCGCCCTAACTGGCCCCCCATGCGATGTTTCTCAACTAACTCGTCGGGCGCAGAGCAGGATGCATTGCCATGGTCAAAAAAGAAGGTATTCCTCGTCGAGCCGAGATTCTTAGCATCAAAGAAACGAAGAGCGGTCGCCAGTTCTACTGCAACTTTGACAATTTCAACAAGCGTCTCGACGAATGGGTGCCGACGATCCGAATCGATTTCGACCAAGATGTCGAGTGGCCATTACCCGACAAGGACAAACCGAAAGATCCTAAGACGAAGAAAGGTGTTGCCACGTCAAAAAATAAGGTCTCCAAGAAGTCTCAGAAGCGACCTTCGAAGAGGGAACAGTCTGCGCCTTCAGAGGCCGCAACGCCACACCCATGGACCGAGTTCGTCGAGTCGCAGAGCCGTAAGATGACGCCAACGGCCGAGGAGAGCCAGAGCCAGACCCCGGCCACGGCTACGGGCGACGCAACGGCCACCCCCGCAGCTGGAGGTGATGAAATGGAAATTGACCTGGAGGAGGAGGTCCAGAAGAAAGATTTACTCAGTGGCTTCAGCCGAGAAGACGAGATCGAGAAGCTGAGGACACACGGCTCTATGACGCAGAATCCAGCCGAGATCTCCCGAATTCGAAATATCTCAAAGGTCCAGTTTGGAAAGCACGACTTGTTCCCCTGGTACTTTTCCCCATATCCCGAGGTATTCAACCAGGAAGATGTTATTTTCATCTGCGAGTTTTGCCTCGGGTACTATGGCGATGAAAAATCATTTGTTAGGCACAGGCATAAATGTACTCTGCAGCATCCTCCTGGAAACGAGATCTACCGCGACGAGTCTGTCTCTTTCTTCGAGATCGATGGCAGACGGCAACGCACCTACTGCCGTAACCTGTGTCTCTTGTCCAAGATGTTCCTTGACCACAAGACACTATACTACGACGTCGATCCCTTCTTGTTCTACGTCATGACGAGTCGAAGCGACAAGGGCTGCCACATAATCGGTTACTTTTCCAAAGAAAAGGAGAGCGCGGACGGATACAACGTAGCTTGTATTTTGACTCTGCCTCAGTACCAGCGCAAAGGTTATGGTCGATTGCTCATCCAGTTCTCGTACGAACTATCAAGGATTGAAGGCAAGCTTGGTTCGCCAGAAAAGCCGCTTTCGGATTTGGGTCTGCTGAGTTATCGGCAGTACTGGGGTGAAAACATCTTGGACCTCATTGTGGGTTACAATGAGCGCGATGAGAAGACTACGATTGAAGCCATCTCAACGGCTCTTGCCATAATTCCGCAGGACGTGGAGCACACCTTACAGGCGCTTAAGATGCAGGTGTATCATAAGGGAGAGCACAAGATCGTGATTCCAGAGAAGCTGATCCAGCAGAGGGAGAAGCAGAAGGTGAAGCAGAAGAGATTGATTGACCCGAGCAAGATCCAGTGGAAGCCACCAGTCTTTACGGCTTCTACAAGAACATGGGGTTGGTAAAATGCGGTTCCCTTAGACTGGTGTCGATAACGAGGCGTTTGAAAAGACATTGATTGATTTTGGAGCATATGATACCCCTATATTCACCACTACCTAGGACAATAGCAAGTTTCAAGTAAATCAACGAGTCTTCGTTCACCGTGATATCTGTTAACACCGCCAGCTCCACGGTGAGCCGCTGTGATTGCAAAATGCTGCGTGGGGCCAGCGCATTTCCTATCTCTGGCACCTCCGCATTCGGAGGCGACAACCTTGAACTTCACTCTGACATACAACTATAAGTAATCAACACCTTGCAGTCAATCAAGGTCGGCTTTAAATTTCATCAGGGGACCAAAACTTGAGCGGAGGTGATGAAGCAAAGCGTGACAACTGTATCAAAACACTTTGCTCAATTGCCTCACCACCACCGACCCCTCACACACCACAACCGCATCTCATTCACTTGCGCAACCAGGATAGACGCTCGCAAGCTGCCGGTCATTTTTGCTACACACTCAGCGCTTCGACGCTGCTTCTTCACCTCGGCAAATTCTCTCTCATCATCAAGCATGAACGCCCCCTTGCACAAGAAGCCAATCAACCTCCTCCGAGGCTGGCCCTCGCCATCCCTCCTCCCGGCCGCAGCCCTCTCCGCCGCGGCCGTGAAGACCCTCGCCGACCCCACCGCCTACATCCCGGGGCTCCAGTATGGCCCGGACCCGGGATACCAGCCTCTCCGCGAGTCCATCGCCCGCTGGCTGGCGGCATTTTACCCCGCTGTCGACCCCGCACCTCCGTCGGCCGCGGATGATGCCACCAACACGACGACCACCACCGTCGGTGCCGGTCACCACCCACCCGATGTTCGGCGCATTTGCATCACGGGCGGCGCGAGCCAGAATTTGGCCTGTATTTTGCAATCTTTCACTGATCCGCTCTACACGAAGAATGTCTGGATGGTGGCGCCGTGCTACTTTCTCGCCTGCCCCATCTTTGCTGACGCTGGGTTCGACGGGCGTCTGAAGGCTGTTCCCGAGGATGATGATGGTATTGATATCGAGTACTTGAGAAAGGGGCTCGAGGCGGCAGGAGAAGGCGGTGATGAGGTGAGCTCTTCTACGCCCGGGGAGTTGCTACAAGGAGCTCTCCCACCTTGACTTCATCTCATCGTGAAGAGCCTCAAGACATGACATCAACGATGAGAAGAAAACACGGAAAAATCCCAGCTAACATCAATCAACAGCACTTCAAAGAAGCCAAAAAGAGAAAACTCTACCGCCACATAATCTACCTGGTCCCAACCTGCTCCAACCCAACAGGCAAAACAATGTCCCTCCAACGCCGCCACGACCTCGTCCTCCTCGCCCGCAAACATGACGCCCTCCTTGTCTCCGACGACGTCTACGACTTCCTCCAATGGCCCCTCGCCACCCCTCCTCAGCCAGGCTACACGCCCGAAATGCGCATCCCCCGCCTCGTAGACATTGACCGCAGCCTAGGCGTCCCCGACGCCTCCTTCGGCAACGCAGTCTCCAACGGCTCCTTTAGCAAGATCGTCGCGCCCGGCGTGCGCACGGGGTGGGCGGAGGGTAGTCCCGCGTTTGCGTACGGATTATCGCAGACGGGATCGACCTGTAGCGGTGGCGCGCCGAGCCAGTTGGCTGCCATGATGGTCGCGGAGCTGCTCGAGAGCGGGGAGCTGCAGAGGCAGCTTGATCAGGAGACACGTCCTGCGCTCGCGAGACGGCATGGGGCTATGATGCGTGCGATTGCGGAGTATATCCAGACGCCGCTGGGCAAGGGTGTCGTTGTGCGCGGGTCGGCGTTGAAGGGGGCCGAGGTGTTTGGCGGGTACTTTGTGTGGTTTAGTTTGCCTGAGGGTATGTCGAGTCGGGAGGTTGCTGTGCGGGCTAAGGAGACGGAGAACCTTGTGATTGGGCATGGTGCGCAGTTTGAGGTGCATGGAGACGAGGATGCTGCGAGGTTCGATCGGGAGATTCGGTTGTGTTTCTCGTGGGAGCCGGAGGAGGTTGTTGTGGAGGGTGTTAAGAGATTGGGAGCGGTGTTGAAGGCTATGAAGGATGGTGTTGCGTGGAAGTCCTCGAGCACGCTGGATGTAGATAACGTCAAATAAAAGGACAAAAAGTCAGAGTTTAATCCCCTACGACTAAGATTCACTTTGCAAGCTCGACCGATACTGCCTTGATATGAGGGGCTTGTTTTGTGGTTACCCTGTCACATGGGCATAAGTGGTAGCACACGATCTTTTGACTCCCTGAGAGTCTGGACTAAGGGGGCCTGCTCCGTGAGCAATAGCCATCTTCACGGCACTCAGTCTGCCAGTTCTGGCACCCCAGAACAGAACCCGGTGTCTATTGAGTGGGTCTAAGTGGTGTAGTCTTCTCTCGGGACTTCGAATTGCGACTTCTCCTCCCTAGCTCTAATCGTTGCTGACATATTCAGGTGTATTTCCGGGTGCTGGCAAGGGGCGAGGGACGAGAGATAGTGGTGGGGACAATTGTTGATAGCTTTACTGAGAATTGAATTAACCCCCAGTTGCCTAGCGATAAGTCTACTGAGATACAACTCTAAGATCCCTCCAACAACAGATTTGTAGTACCCAGAGCGAAGCAGGGTTGCTACAGACCAATGGCTCCGGTGAATGATCTTGACTTTATACAGTGAATTTAGACGGTTGCTAAGTGACACATGATACGATGAGAGCCTTGAGATAGAAGGACCTGCATTAGGAGAAGTCTCATCGAACAGCGCTGTTCTTCGCAAATCACGTGTTCAGCAGTTGACTTCATCTGCGATGTGTGAAGTTCGTCGACGAAGCAGAGGGTAAATTCCACGGCTAGATATAGTAAGATTCTTTGAGGTCAACGTTGCTCGCTGATTTGTTCCTATTAAATCCATCCGAGGATTGCTTCTACATGACGCCCAAACGAGGAGAGTCAGGTAAAGATAAATATGGGTGTAGGTCAAAAAAGTCTCATACCGGTAGCAAGAATCCAAGTCAGACAACAAGAGAGTGACAAGGCTCTCCGTAGTCGAAAAGGTAAGACTCGGGGGCAATATATTCATGGGCTCATATTCATGGGCCTACATCTAGAGCTGCATATGACTTCCGTTGGCAGACTTCCGCCTTGACCGTCAAGACTCATTCACTACCTTAAATGGTCACGGTGATAACTTCACATCAGAAGTAACATTGAGTAGCATTGCGACCTCAGTTAGCGATTGGGAACGATTGAATGACATCACGGGCGCCTTTTCCCGCTTCGCTAAGCCTTTCCACCAGCCACAAAACGATTGTAAACAAGACCCTTCGGAGCACACGATTCTAGGCTCGTCCCGAAATGGGCGGGGGCGCAGCGAGATGGGGGCAATCAAGCACTAAAAGGATCTCGTGGAGGCTGGGATTTGAGGCTTGAGGTACGAAGAGCTGAAAGCCATCAAGTGCGGGACATCGTCATTGAGAGTGGGTGGCTCACAAGTCTCTCGCCTTTGATGGCGGCGGATTCTCTCTCTCTTTCTCTCTCCCTATCGATGGGAAGCGGTCGGAAGAGGCGTGTGTGGCTTGTGACGGGGTCTCATCGTCTGTGAGGTACTGTGGTACGGTAGTCTGTTGCGGCGGCGGTGGCCCGGGGTTGTACTCGTTGCGGTATGTCTTTAATGGGTGCGTTGTGTCTTAGGCGGTTTGTGGGTATACCTCGATTCTCGAGTTCGGCAGATGCGTATACAATGGAGACTTGATGGTCAAGCTATGGGTTACGAAGCATTTACCGTCAATACCGTGTCCTCCAGGGCTAGATGATGGTGTTTTTTGGAATTATTGACGGAAATGAAACGAGTTGCTTGAGCAGTAGGTGTTTATGCGCCGCTTTCGCATTACCAACAACACTTTCTCCACCATATCTTCCAAACTAACCTAGGTTAAATGATCTGTTTGTAAGTAATCACAAAATATCAAAGTTTACCATAACCACGAAGACAAACAGATGCCAAGACTCCGGGAGGGTGGAGGAGGGGGCCGCATGTACGATGGACGAACCCGACACCTCGGGTCCCCCACTCCGCGTCCTCCCTGCAAGTTTACAACCTCCAACGGGGAAGACGGTGGTGATGGATGCATGCACAGCTTTCGCCGCAACAGCTCTTACCAAACCACCGGGATCCCAGCAACGTCACTGCTTCATTTTTCTCCTCCTCTAACCCAGATATTGTCAAGCTTGCGGGTTGAGGGACTCTAGTATCTAGTTCCCTCTTGTCTAGGTTGAAAAGTATAATTTCGCAATCGCTTGTTTCTCTAGTTTCTCTTCCTCGATGTCCGCAAACGGAAATAAAAGCCACCGTACCTGGGAGAGGCTAGACCCGGGCCCCCGATCACCGCGTTAGTTAGCATTTTGTCTTTCTTTGATCTATCATTTTCGCAAACAAGGGAACGATTCACTCTTAACCATGAGACATAAACTCAGTTTAATCCCCCGGGCGGGCGTCCCCAGACGGGTCCTGGACTCCCCTCTCCCTCCTTTCCCCCCTTTCCATATGAGCCACGAGGAACGAACGAAAAAGGAAGCCAAGAAATAAAGAACCAGAAGAGTGGTCGCGAGAGATATGTCGTGATGCCTCCTTGAATCGACGATTCCTCTCCTCCCTCCCGCCTGCAAAAGATTGCTCATGTCCAGCGAACTACCCGCATCGATACTGTTGTCGAAAACCATACACCTGAGCTGTCATATCGATGGCGCTTCAGTTGGCGGATGGCCTGCCGGACTGTGCCGTACGTTTGTCCCTCTCTCTCTGATACTGTTCTGGCCTTTGTGGTTCGGGTACGGAGACACTATCTACTGCGAACGTCACGGGAAGCTGACAACGTCCTGTTTTGATGTGTTTCTAGATACCGTGTCTGTCGCAGGCCATCAACATCACAACATGTGCCGTCACCAACTTGACGACGACATGTCTATGTCAGGATAAATACGCCATTGAGGCCTTTCGCGTCTGTATACGTGCGGTGTGCGACTTGGAGCAATCTTTACGTGAGATATCCACCCATTTCTCCCCTTTCCTGAGCCTGGCTTTTAGCTAACAGTGATGCCACCTAGTCGCCAAGAACATCACATGGACAAAGTGCGGGTATCCATATCATCACCAGACGGGGTCAATAGCCGGCAAAGTCTCGCTGGTGATTATCACCACCGTCTTCCTTTTGGCGAGGATGGTCTCCAAGTTTCTGAGGCTGTCGACGTGGGGGCCGGACGACTTCACGTTGGTTTTGGGATATGTAAGAGGTCCAGCGTTCTCACAGAAAGAAATTCGCCAATCTGTTTTTACTTTACATAAAGATGGGTTGACTAACAGTTTTTGCTGCAGTTATTTTCCCTCTCTTTTGCCATTTCAAAATTTCAAGGTAGGCTATCCCGTTTCGACACTCTCACGATGTGTCGAGGGACACCGGTTAAGGGGCTCGTCTCACAGAATAGTAGGATATCAATTAGGCATCGGCCGGGATATATGGACTCTCTCCTACGATGAGATAACCCGCTTCATGCAAGTACGATACCAATCCCACCACCACACCCCAACTTATCCCACAGAAACCAAAACTCACATCCCCAACCCCCTCCCTTCCTAGGTCTTCTTCGCCTTCGAAATAATCTACACCCTGTCCATCTCCGCTCTCAAAGCCTCAATCCTCTTCTTCTACATCCGCGTCTTCAGCATGGTCAGCCGCACCTTCAGCCTCGTCCTCTGGTGCACCCAGGCCTTCAATTTCTTGTTTTGTTTCGCCTTCACCGTCGCCAACCTGAACCAGTGCCGCCCCTTCAGCAACGCTTGGGAAGGCTGGGACGGCCGCCACCCGGGATATTGTATTAATGTCTACGCCATGTTCATCGCGCACGCCGCCATCAATATCGCGCTCGATGCGTGGATGTTGGGATTGCCCGTCACGCAGGTGCTGTGGTTGAATTTGAGAAAGAGGCAAAAGGCTGAGATTGTGGTTATGTTTTCGTTGGGTATTGTGTGAGTCTTGAGCTTGGCTTTTGATACCAACCCCCATTCCTTCGGTCGACATATTCGGGGGACATGTTGTTGTTAACACCTCAACTTACAATAGCATCACAATCATCAGCGCAATCCGTCTAAAAGTCCTCCTAAGCCTCGAAGGCTTCCAAGACCCAACCTGTAAGCCCTCCCTCGCCCCTACGACAAAATCCTTCCCTACCTCATCCATCGTCCACGATGCTAACCCACTCCTTCTCGACACAAAACAGACGACGCCTTCTATCTCCACATGTGGTCCTACATCGAACTCTCCGTCGGCATCGTCGTCGCATGCCTCCCCTCAACCCGCCAAGTCTGGCGCCACCTCGTCCCCAAATTCCTCCGGCTCGTCGGTCTGGGAAGCCCCAAACATCACCACCACCACCACCACGGCCACGAAAGGCCAGGGGATTCTGCAAAGAAGCTTCGCGATATCTTGTTCTTGAGCACGAATACAGGAGGTGCTGGTGGAGAAGAAGAAGGGGGAGAGGAGCATTCGTCGTCGTCGGCGGGACCTTCGAGTCCGAGTGGATCGTCGACTCGTCGTCAGGAGTTACATTGTAATTTGTAGTATATACCCCCTTTATATAGTAATTTGTTGTTTGTTTTTACGATACACTAGTCTCTGGACATCGCACTCATTTTTGGATCGGCCTCAGTAGGGACTGTGCTTTTAGACGATGAATGTTCTCCCCCGGTAACTTTCCTCACCAGGCAATGAAGTGAAATATCCTGCTTTGATAACATTCATACAAGCATCTCAACCAGTATCGCACTTTCCGTCAGCTCGAAGGGCTTAGGACTCATCATAACTTCACAGTCAAGACGAGCTGCATAGAGGCACAAGTGAAAAGCGAGTTTTCATCATTTGTTTGTGTATTTTCTGAACTGCAATTACCCTGGACGTCGACTGCCCTCAAGCAGCTTACTGTCCTTCCGCTGGCAGTGACCGAGTAAACGCTTGTTTAAAAAAAACACACTCATCCATTTCCGAGTCCTGTAACCTCACCTCCTTTGCACATCAGCTGTTTGTAAAAGACCGCATTGCCCCCCCTGATACTCCCAGGACACCCGCCAGCCAACCTTCCTATGACCTCCCGGCCGTTCGTTATGCGTGTCATGGTTATGAATCGTACGAAGAAACACCGGACCTTGGTCAACATGACCAGTGTTCTTCTCCTCTGACCTATGTAGCCGGGCAAAGGGGGTTTTCATATCGGGTTGGAAGTGTTACTCAATGGTGGAAAGATGGAGCTCGTGTGTCGTGAGAGTGTAAGAGAAGAAAATTCACAAAAAGACTTCGCTCTCGCTTCCATCCACCCCATTTATCTGCATCTGGGTCAAATTCTCCTGGCCGGTCAAGCTCATATAACGACCGACCAAAGCGATTCGATCGAGTCAGGGTCCTTAAAAATCTGAAAACGCAAAGCGCTCTCTGCGAAAACAATCGATTCTTCGAGATGGTACACACTGCCTACCGCTCGTGGCGGAGCAGTTCGGGCATGCCACAGTTGCAGCATGCGGAACAATATTTGTGCGGTATTCGTCGGCCGTTGATACTGCCGGCTGCGATTGGTAGTGTATGTTAACCTCAATAAGTCAACAAAAGTTGTGTAGGGTTTGAAGTTGTAGTGTGGACAGCTCTAGGCTGCCTGCGTGGGCGTAGTCCTGCGGGACCAGTTCTCGGACCCGCGTCCGCGGTAGCCACCGCGACCTCCTCGGCTGGGGGGAGGTGTCGAACTGCTTGCTTCACCAGAGTACGAAGGCTCCCGTCCCTTGCCGCCACGATGATTCGGGCCCGATCCGCGCTGCCCACCACCGCGCCCGCTGGACCGTCGCGGATTGCTTCCTGATCGAGAGAAAGGAAGCGGAACAGTCCTGGCATCACCCATACCGGGAAGAAGAATGCGGTAAACACTGCCGCTAGTCGACATCTCATGGGGGAACCATAAGGAGCGAACAGTCTCAATATCGGAAACCCAGAAGCGCCTCGGCAGAGGCTTGATGGGGGCGGCAGCAGGTTGCCATGCAGCCTCCGGGGTCTTATGGGGAAGATGAATGCGTGGAAGCGACCCCATTTCCTGCTCCTCGAAGCATTCCTCAGCCGGTGGCTTTGTAGTGAAAGACTTCACATCGTCTGACAAGTTCTGGGTAGCTGAGCGAGGTAGAGAGACGGTAGCCGGGTTGTAGTGACCAGAATAGTCGAGAGCACTTTTAGTGACAGGCTCGACACCGGGTGCCTTTGGCGGAGAGTTTGGCTTTCGTCCCGTGAGTAGGTTGTTGATCCTATCTTGCCAATTTTCGTTTCCTGCTGAATCTTGCGATCGCTGGGACACGTGGTTCTGCTGGTAAGGTCCGCGATCATGAGCTCCCGGAACATCTTTGTAGCCGGCTGGCGTTGCCCAAGCAAATGGCCCCGTGGCTCTCGGTGCCGCTGACTGCGCCGCCGCAGCTGAAGGTGGTAACTTGACAACGGGATGCGGCCGGGGAAGAGATACGTGAGGGTGCATGGCGTCTCCATCGAAGGCCGGGTGGCCAAGCATATCCGGGGGCGGCGGAGAAGGTGAGTTAGGCCTCGACGGTTCTGCATGAGAAGCCGAGGAATCATGTCTGTTGTCCTTGGGAGGGAAGAATCTGGAGGAACTTCGTGACTGAGTGGCGGCTGACGGTCCTGTAGGAGGCAGTACAGATGAGTGGTCAGCAGAGCCAGCAGCGCGAGCAGCATCGTGGTGAATAACGTGTGCAGGATCGCGTCTTCCGTCTCCAGATGGGCGCCAAGTATCTTTAATCGTGGCTTGAGCTTGTTCAATAGTGAGCCCGCGCTCCACCAAACTTCGATCACGCTCGAGGCGCTGCGACCTCTTCTCGTCGAGTACGATCTTGTCCCCTTCTAGAACCGAGTGAGCCCATCTATTTCTCATCTCATTCACTTCGCGAGCATTGCCCGTAGTGGGACGACCCTGGGGGACTGGTGGAATCTGAACCTGCGCTCGCTGCGAGCTGGGGGGTGCGATGGGTGCCGGGCCCTTTCCTGCTGCTTGAGGCTCTGGCAGACGACCCAAGTCGGTATTAAAGGTGCCATTGCCCAGTCCGCGATCATTGTTAGGCGATCCCCAGACGTTACGAGGAGCCTGAGGGCCAGCCGCAGCCGCGCCCCAAGTCGGAAGCCGTTCTTGTTGAGGCGTAGGTGCAACCCATGAGTTGGGCTGCCTTGCCTCCGAGCCACTTGGTCGTCTCGCATGTTCTCCGCCTGCGGTAACGGGCCTTTCGCCGTAGGGCTTGTCCTTAGCGTTGGCTGGAGTTGACGGGACAGCCGATGTATCGGGACTCGCGGCAGGCGGCTGTTGACCGGCTTCCTGGTTAGTAGAACCATCTTGTCGAGATTGTGCCTGTGCCGGGGCCGCGTTGGAACTCTCTGGCGAAGCCTCCTTCTTGTCACTTTTACGTTCCGGAGCTGGCCCCATGGCTTCCAACTTAGCCGCGATGCGCGCTTTCCTCGCAGCTTCCTCACGAGCCTCCTCTTCGCGTCGCCTTTGCATTGCTAATTCGCGTTTCTCACGCATGACCTTCTTCTGCATCTCGAGATCCTCCTCCAATCGTGCCATCGGTGGCGGCGCAGCTGGTCTTCCGTCTGTCTGAGGGCCAGCTGAGTGTAGGGTGGCATGGTTGGTTCCGGGAGATGGTCGAGGTTGCCACTGCTGGTTGCCGTGCATCCGAGGACCATGTTGCAAGCCGGAAGGCGAGAAGTTCCTGGGGGAGATGGGACTTTCAACCGAGCCAGCCATAGAGCCTCTACGAGCACTCAGCAAGTCCTGGGGAGGACCCGGAAGCTCATGTCCCTTGCCTGGCCGTTGCAAGTAGGATCCGCTACCACCGCTAGCAACAGAAGATCCACGGCGCCTACCCATAGGACCGTCGGGCACAGAGTTCCTGCTCGTTTGGAAAGCGGCAGACGGCTCCGGATGATCGGATTGGGACGGGCGTTGTAACAGTGCCGGCTGCCTAGGATGGACGTCAGATCGGAAGGAGCCTCTTCGATCGGCCGGTACCGGCTCATAACGCCCAGATTGCGAGTTGAATAGTTCTCGGTTTCCGCCGGGGGGGCCACCTTCTCTCCAAGCTGATCGGTTAAAATCGTCAGCAGCGATCTCCTTGGCATGGTAGGGCGGGGCATTGTTATTAGTCGCGTGGTCTCTCGGGGGATATCTCGCGCTTTGCTGAGGAGTAGGCGGCTCGGCGATGACTGGCGGAGGAGCCTTCTCGACGGGTGGCAGAGGTGCCCAGGGCGATTTGACTGGCGTCGGAGGTGCAGGTGGTTTGGCGACGAGTGTGGGCTTTTCGGCAGACCCAGCCTTGAGGATGAGCCCTTTGCCAGATGCAAGCCCGCCAGTCTTAATCGAGGGCGAAGCGGTGGTTCGAGGCGGTGGTACAGGAGATTTCGGTTTCTCAATGACCTTCTCTTTCGGTGGTGCAGGAGTCGGCTCGGGCGGCGGCGGCGCAGGTACTTCGTCGGGATGAGGGAGGGTGGTCTTGGTACCATCGGTCCAGGTGATGGTCTCGGGCGCCCAGTCGTCGTCGTCGTCTTCTATATCTGCCCAATTTCCCTGTGCCGACTGTCCGCTTTCGGGGGCAAGACGGCTTGCCATATGGATGCCATATTTCTTAAGTTCTTCATCTGTAAGCTTTTTGGGTTCCGGAGTTGGGACAGCTGAGATACGTTATATTAGCACATGATCGCAACCACCTCAAAGACCTAGTAGTCGCCTTACGTCGATTCTTGTTCCATACTGCGCTTGGGTCAGGGCCAGCGGCAGGTTTGGCGCCGTTGGCAGCCGCTTTGAGTCCCGGTGAAGAACCTGTGCCAGTGCCCGACTTTGCGACTAGTCTCGGTCGTGAAGACAGGGTCGAGGTCCCTGATGGCGAGGAGCTCAGGATCGAGGTCGAGTTTGTCTTTTCGCCGGGTTTGGTCGCTGAGGAAATGGCAGGACCCTTGGATGCTAGGAATGTCTTGTTGACCGAGACAGCCTTGAAGGTGGCGGGCTTCTTGACGGTCGACGACGTCCTACCATGTCCCTTTTCTCCATCTCGCGCAGCCCGCGATGCCTCTGTATCCGACCCTCCACTAACACTAACATCTGCTGAATTGAGTTGATCTTCAACACCGGTGATGTGCTTATTTTCTAAGTCATCGACGGCGGGACTACCGTTCAGTTTCGCGCGATTGGGACCGACATTTTGGGGGTCGATATCAGCGTCGTTAGTCTGTTCGGCGGAGGGTTCCGAAAGGATCCTAGGTTAGCCAAAGGGCAAGCGACAGGGCGACAGGGTGAGGTTCGCATGGGTTGGAATGACGAATGAAGACGAGTGAAGAGGGGACGCGGGGATCATCCGGCGATGGGGCAGGGCGCCAGCGGTGTGAGGCTGGGGCTGGGGGAGGAGGGGAAAAGAGGGAACTCACGAGCTTGGGGTCAGAATGGACAGAAGCATCAACGGGGGCGGCGAGGGTGGCTTCAGTTGCCATCATACGTCGTCGGATGTTCTGCGCTGGAAGAGCGATGTTTGGCTTTTCCGAGCTCGAGTCACCAAAAGTACTAGTTCTGGGGGTGTGTGTGTGTGGATGTGTGTAAGGTAGTCGAAGGACAAGATGGTGGTGGTGGTTGGTGGTTGGTCGGATTTGGTGATGGAGTACTATGGTAGGTATGTATGGGCCGGGGGAGCGACGAGTCGCAGAAATCGAGCGGTTTCGTGTATTCGAATCGCGGGGCGAATGCGATCGTGGGAGTCGCGAATTCGGATAATTCCCCTACCAGCAAGACGTACGTCGTCGGCTTCGTCGTCGTCGTCGTCGAGGTATAGCGTCCGAGGGGGGGGGGTTTGGAGGGAATAGAGGAAAAAAAAAGGAGCGCTGGGCTGATGGGGGTGAGGTGGTGGTAGAGAAGGGCACACCTATGCGGCTGTGATGGTTGTGAGGTCGATTTTCCTAGAGAAGCTGCAGTCGCCTAATCAGGGATTAGCGTGCGGCAGCGGCAGGGGGAGCAGCCAAAGTTCCTCAGTGTCCAGCGCTGTGCTGGGCAGTCCACCTATCCAGTCACTCACTGTACGCAGTAGTGCTGCTCCAGTGTGCTCAGTGCTGTCCAGTGCGAGGGGAGAGAGGCAGGCGTGGCAGGTAAGATGAGGGAAAACAGTGGGGACGCGATGGGTACCTGCCCGCCGACGTGGTCACCGGATTCCCGAGAAGGCTGTGACAGTGTGTCAGCCTCGTGCACTGTGGTCTCCAAACACTGTGTTTTGGTCATGGCTCAGCTCGGCCTAGTGCGGAAAGCGCTGGCTTTGCGGGCTGGGGAAAGCACGCCTGCGGGAGCCGGGAGGAAACAACGCGGGATCCCCCGACATCCCAATGGGCTATTCTTGGATCCAGTGCATTGATGAGCGCCTCTCCGTCTGAGCATTCATGGATGCACTTCTCCGACTGACAGTTGTTTTATCGTCTATCATAATGATTGAAACTAATGGAAGAAGTTTTGTGTTGCTTTGAGGCTGGCTTCGAATTACCCTAACTTGACAATCATAGATGGCACTTGGCAAGCCAAACTCAATGGTGGTCTCATATTCATTACTGATCACTACCGCCCCCATGTCTTCTCTTCTCGAATGTATACATCACATCGGGTTTCCTGGGAAGTTTGAGCCGGATGAGCATTACGCAATACCACTCAGTTAATCTTTGGACTAGCTGAAACAAACTCTCGGCTCAACTTGTCAGCGGCCCTACAAAGACCGAGAACGAGAACATCCCAGGCCATCCTCTTATTGTTGTTGTTGTTGTTGTTGTTGTTGTCTTTTCATCAGACCGCGCTTTTCTTTCTGTCCATTTCACATTCGAGGGAATACACGCTGGACACGAAAAAGGAAATTTGCCGAGGAGCCTCCTCCTGGAGAATAGGTTCTAATTCTTATATACACGGTCCCAATGCCATTACACAGCCAGAAGCTGGACTACAACCAGACGGGAGTCGCTTAGTGAGCATTGTTCTTGTGGTGGCCTGTCAATCATTAGCATCGTATCATAGAGCTGCTCTCCTTCGTATTCATTTGTCCTGGGGTTTCGTCTAGACTGGTGCATTGAAGAGAGGTTTAACGTACGGAGGTGGAAGTAGTAGTTCTGAGCGTAGCCGATGACGAGGAGGAAGCCAAGGGCGTGGATGATGGCTACACAGCAATGGTCAGTCTTCATATCCATACTCGATGCCCAGATACAATCCAAGAAAACAACATACGCTTCGCAGAGGCGTTCTTGCCGCTGAAGTGCTTGGCGGCGTAGCGGCCGAGGATGCCAGTGGGCTTAGCCTCGGGGGCGGCACCACGGGGGAGCTTCTCGTAGAAGTTGACAACGCGCTGCATGCGAACGGCGTTGGGGTCCGCGCCAAGGGCCTGCCCGAGTCGTCATGTTAGCCCATCTTCTGCTCCGTATCATTTCTCGTTGTTGATGTTGATGTTGTTGTTGTTGTTGTTGAAAAATATCCATAGCTCCGAGTAGCTCCGTCCTTTCGCTCCTCCGTATCCCGCGCCCGAACCTCCGAATTCGCCGGGTAACCTTTTCCCATCCAAACCTCGCATCCATCAAAAAAGCAAGGAAAACGTGTAATCGGGGTTTATAATCGTACCTTGGGAGAGGCGACCTAAATTGCATCAACGTCAGTAAAGTCATTCAGGTCGACCTGCCGGTCGTCGGCCGGCCGGAGGGAGAAGAAGCGCACCTTGGGGGGAATGAGGGTCGAGAGACCGCGGCGGGGGACGAAGCTCATGATGACTTTGGGGTATCGAAGAATCGGAAGGATCGCTCGGCGCAAACGGTCAATTGAACTGGATCCAATTGATTTCGACGTGGGAGGGGGAGAGGCTGATGGCTATGATAGACGAGGGTGACGCTCCGTTTGCCGAAAGTGAGGTTTGAACGAAAAGCACTCGTTTCCTTCGGGTCAAGGTTCTTGCGGTGACCAATCAGCGCGCCCCAATCCGGGCCACCCCCCCAAGCAAGGCCCTTCCGCCTTGTCCAGTGCCGTACCGTCAACCACCACCATAATCGCATTCCCAGACTCACCCAATTCGTCCCACCGTCCCACGACGACGCCAATTCCGCTTCATCAATCGAGGGAAGCAGAATCGCCCGGTCGCAATGGCATCCCTCCGCGCCTACAACGCAGCCCGCCTGCTGCGGAGCGCCGCTCCCTTCCGAGCTTCCGTCTCCGCGCCCGTAACCGCTCGCCGATTCGAGAGCCAGCTCACGACCGGCACCACGACACAGCAGCCCGCCGCCGTCCCACCCTCGACCGAGCAGAAGGAGCCCGACTACAGCATCGCCGCCGACAAGGCCACTTCGTAAGGACGCAAATCTTTCAGGAGGAATTATTGCATGACTTGCAATTGGATTGGGCGTACAAGAGAAGTGCTAATCGGGTTGTGTTTCTCGCAGGACCTTCACCCCGACCCCCAAGAAGCTCCAAAACGGCAGCGAAGACGTTCCCTTCATTCAAGCCGCCGTCATTTCCGGCGCCCCCATGGAGCTCCAGGCTCGCACAGTCCGGTACGCATAGCCTTCCCTCAGCGCAATCGCATCCTAGACCAAACAACAAGAAAGGAAAGGAATCAAGACTAACGACGAAACCTTCACAGCATCTACCAGGAATCCAAGCCCGCCACGCAGTCAGGCAACTGGCAGGGCCACCACTGGCGCATGGACTGGGACATCCTCCCCAAGGGCCACCGCTGGGAGAACCCGCTCATGGGCTGGCAGTCGTCGGCCGACATGATGCAGGGGACCAAGCTCAACTTCAAGTCAAAGGAGGACGCCATCCACTTCGCCGAGAAGCAGGGCTACGAGTACTTTGTCCAGGAGCCGCAGTCGAGGCGGATCAAGCCCAAGGCGTACGCAAACAACTTTTTGTACTCGCCCAAGAAGCTTAAGCACATTCGGACCAAATAGAGAGACAAAGTGGAAGAGATATTGTAGTACGGAGTATCATTTGTATATAAAACTTTCCAAGGATCGTGTTTACCCCATGGTAGACCTGAAATCTTGTGAGAAGAAGTGTTTTGGTAAAGAAAGCAATAAAAAAATTGAAACATTACGGGAGTTCCAACGTGACTTTGATATTCACGCTGAGTTCCTCCTCGATGAACACTCGGGAAACTTGGTACGTTGAGCTGTAATCGGACTTTCTCTCAAGGTGATTGGCCCAGGAGTCCCCACCCATACATTGTTCAGTTCACTCCCATGCAATCTTCCCTGCGCTACGGATAGATTCTCGGGATGATGGAATACCGGCAGTCACGGGAGACGAGAGACGGCAGGACCATTTTCTCACGGGACAGTTCAAGAGAGGGGTGATATGTTGAGTTCGCAATTGCCATGATGGCCTCTATTCGTTTATCGGTCATCTGTTGACCCGATGTCGTGAACCATTAAAAGATGTATGTACCATAATCTCATTCAGTCATAACCGAATGTTGTAACGCCTCCAAGATTCGCCAATCCTGGCCCGTATCCCAAAGTCAAACCCTGCTTGCTCTTAACGCCATGCGCTGTTTCCTAGCCATCATGTTCCACTTCATAATATTCCATGATCAACTCAACCAAACGGCGGTCTTCAGCGTTGTCAGCGACGTGGGCGACGCTATCGTGATAACTCTCCGCTCCTAGGATGCGATTCTATTCCTCGACCTGGGAGGTAAGCGGTCTGCGAAGGAGGGACCGATGAAGATCGTTTGTTTCTTGCTTGTTGCCCTCTTTCAGCGGACCGTCTTGCAACGGACCAAGATTCTCCGTGTCGCTGCCGTAGCCCTCAAGACTGTTGCTCTACGAGAGCATCATTGGGTCGTGCCCATCACTCTCGTCTCCGTTCAAGCCGAGACCAATTCTCTCAGGGAGGGGCTTCTTCTCTGCTCTCGCAGCAGACTCAGCCCAAGCCCTCATCTTTACCAGCTGTCGGATCGCGGCTTCCCTACGCTCCGACTGACGCTGTAAGATGGCCTTGTTGACATCATCCGCAACATCCCGTCTCAGGTCTGGATGCAAGATGGCTGCCAATTGCGGCTCGAGATCGTTGTGCGGGAACACCAATAGCGCCATAGTCTCTTCCAGGTCTTTGAGGAAGCGCGAGTCGGTTGGTGCACGCGGTCCAAGATGGTTCGTGGCGAATGACAAGGCAGGAGTGATATCCCCGCCAGGTGTGTTCGTGCACGCCCGAATGAGCTCTACAAGTTGGAGGCGAAGCAGCGCGAAGTGCAAGGTTGGATCGCGGTCCAGGATCTAGGTGACCTGTTAGAACACATGTACAAAACAGAGCCATGCTGACAAGTAGTTTATATGGTGAAAGCTCATTAAAAAGTGGTTGTTCCTCATCAAAGTGTCCCGAAGGTGCTATGAGTGGTGCATGATAACTCGATGTCTAATCACTGCGATTGGGGTGTATGAATGCTGCGGAGAGTAAACAACTAACCTCTGAGTCAAAGTCATTCAGGGCCTCAATGGCGTACTGAATGCTTCCAGTGTGGATTGACTTTTGGATCTGCTGGCGGACCTTGATCGTCTCATCGACTTGGTGGGGTTGGAGGTTGGCTTCCTTGCTGAATTTTGCAGCAGCATTAGGGTAACCTTCCATCGTCAAGTAATCGAGGATCAGGGCGTTGATGTCGCTGAGAGTCCATGTTAGCACAAATGTCCTCTTGGCTGTAGTTCGAACAACGTAAATATGTGCAAAACAGCAAAAGTGTCAGGGTTATTTTATATCGAGTTCTCCGCATGGTAATTGCTAGGAGAGATTCCCATTTGATAGTTGATCATCATGTGAGCCGGTAGGGAGGGGAAGCACCAGACGTAGCCTCGGAGCTAGCGCCGGGCTACGACGTTGGAGATGAAAGAGAGAGAAAAAAGGCTTACCTTTTGGGCGACTTGACGTCCTGAACACGCCTCTCGAAGGCATGCTTCATGGGTGTAGCAGTCGACGCAGACGAAGTCTGAATGACCTCTTAGCTAGCTGCCAACGACAACCAAACGACGTGGCCAGCATGGATGTACATACTGGCACACTGGAACACGGGGAGCTCAACGGACCATGATTCTCTCCAACGTCTCCCGCACGAGACGCGCAGCAGCTCTATTCCAAACTGCTATGGCTGTTGGGTCGTTGATGTCCGGCAGTCCTGACATGCGATGGGAAGTGCGCAAATGCAGGGAAAGCAAGGCAGGATCAGACAGGCTCTGGGCTGGGCCGTCGTCACATTTGAGTGGCCAGTCGAGCTCCCGTTCGGTTTGTTGTGCGAAGGGAGTCTTTGAAAGAAAAGATGCTGAGGAAGAAATGGGATTGGATGTGGAAGAAGGAAGAAACGTCGGAACAAAGAGAAAGAGGCTGGAGCGGAGCTTTATTCGGTTCCAGAGTTTGCGGCTGCAGAGGGCCAATCGCAGGATCAGCCGGACCACCTGGCGTGGGGCAGCCATGATTAGATAATCTGAGGCACATGCCCTCTTTACCTAAGGTAAGGTACCTTACTTTCAAGGTAACGCAGGTAAGGCGCTGAGAGCAGCCACGCAGCCTGGGGGGCCACAACTGGGGGTGAACAGGGCAAAAAACACAGGGCGCGATCCACCACAAGCACAAGACAGGCAGGTACCAGAGCTAATACCACCTCACTGCCCTTACCTTACCTGAGGTGTATGTACTGTGCACAGTAAGGACCTGAGGTGAGCAACCGCAACCACGCATCGTGCCTGCGGGCTGCTGTACTGAGTAGGAGGAGCTGCGGTCATCTGGACCCTGTGTATTTGTGCGCCCACCTGTGTGAGCCCAGCTCGCTATTGGGTCGTTCAGTTCTACACGAGACGTTCCGTTGGAGAACTAGACTTGATGCTTTGAGGAAAGATAGCACGCGAGCACAGCCTCTCTCTTTTTATGGGCAGGCTGTTATAACTTGTCTCTAACATCTCCAAGATGTACAGCCCACCTTCCCTATAGAAACAGCAAAAGGCAACTTCCCCTCTCGTGGCTCCCGTCTGATCAGCAGCTTTGTGGCAGGTACCTTCCATTCGGTTAGGTTACCTTCAACATCAGATCTAGCCCGGCCAGCTCCACCATCCACCAGGCTTTAGTTGCCAAAGTCAAGCATCCATCCCCCCTCAGCGCTTATCTTTGGGGACTGGACCCTGGAAGTCGCCTTTTACCTGGCCAGTGTTTTCATTTTTATATCTCCAAACTTCATCTTTGCTTCTTCCCCCCTTCCATTGCGAAGGGAGCAAACATCAAGCCGTCGACACCTGCAGTCTTTGTTCCTCAGGTCGTTGGTTTTCCCGTCCGCCTGCCTAACTTACTTTGCTGTAGGATCCGAGGACAAAGCTGTAGCTACCCGATAAACCACCACCAGCCTGCCCCGCGTATCGACATCGGCGACCTCCGCCTCTCCTCAAATAATGGCAGACGACCACAGCGGCACCGAGTCTCATGTGACGATTCAGCGGCGGACTCACTACTCACCACCATGGGCAGATGTCAGCATCATTGGCATTGCTGGCAGTTCCGGCTCTGGAAAGTCAACTCTGTCGCATGCCATTGTGAGAAAGCTGAATCTGCCCTGGGTGGTGATTTTGTCCATGGTATGTGTGCATTTACCCCGCCAACCGGCGGCTTGCGGCGATGGCCCCTCCCCTGACTCGATTTCAACATAGGACTCTTTCTACAACCCCCTGAGTCCTGAGGAGTCAAAGAGGGCTTTTGACAACGACTTTGACTTTGACGCGCCGAATGTAAGATATACACCGATTACTGCTGGCATGCATATTGACCAAATTCAGGCGATTGACTTTGATGTTCTTGTACAATGTTTGCGCGATCTGAAGGCTGGGTAAGTCTTGTAACTTTGCTATCTAAAATGCTTCATGAGATTCTCCTAGTCTGAAGGCAGAAATTTGAGCCATCAATATTCAACTTCATGATAATAATCAGTCTTCAGAAAACGGGCTGAAATTCCCATTTACTCCTTCTCTAAGCATCAAAGGCTGGACAACACCACAACCATCTACTCACCTCACGTCATCATCCTGGAGGGAATCTTTGCCCTCCATGACCCCCGTATTATTGATCTTCTGGATATGAGGGTAATTCAATCCCATGAAATCGAACTGCGATCGATTTCTGACTGTTGCTCAGATATTCTGCGAGGCGGATGCCGATACGTGTTTGTCACGGAGAGGTAAGTCGCAGGCAGCCCGGGACGTGATGTACTTGGTGCACGGCTGACCTTGCAACGTAAAGTGTTGAGAGACGTCAAGGAGCGTGGCCGTGACGTAGATGGCATCATGAAGCAGTGGTTCAAGTTTGTGAAACCAAACTTTGAAAAAGTAAAGAGCTCCATCATCAAATCGTATCGGACTTTCCTAATATGTCTGTGTCCAGTTCGTCGAGCCGCAGCGCAAGGTCGCAGGTAAACTAGCCGAGCCGCATCCGATGCCTTGTAGAGACTGACCGCAAGTAGACATCATCGTGCCGAGAGGTATCGAGAACCGCGTTGCCATGGGTAAGTAAATATAATGTTCGTACAGCTTCACAACTAATACCTAGGCTAGCCATGGTTGTTCAGTACATTGAGCGCAAGTTGATCGAAAAGTCAACCCACCACCGGGCAGCACTCACACAATTGGAACTGGCGGCTGCCAGCGACCCTCTGTCCGACAGAGTCGTGATTCTAGATCAGTCACCGCAACTGAGAGGCATGAGCACCATCATTCAGGATATCGATACCTCTGCGGAAGACTTTATCTTCTACTTTGACCGCCTCGCGTGTCTTCTGATCGAGCAGTGAGTAGTTTGCTTGTGGGGTGAATGTCTAAATAACGAGCTAACAACCACAGGGCACTCAACAATGTGCAATTCAGAGAAAAGACAATTGCCACGCCCCAAGGGTACAAGTACAACGGACTCCAAGCTACGGGCGATGTAAGTGCGGTGCTGGTCCTCCGTGGCGGTGCCGCCTTCGAGACGGCCTTGAAGAGGGTCGTCCCCGACATGCGGACAGGCAGAATCCTGATCCAGTCCAACGTACGGACGGGAGAGCCCGAGCTGCATTATCTCAAGCTTCCGGATAACATCGACTCCCACGAGTCGGTCTTGTTGATCGACACGCAGATGGCCAGCGGAGGCGCCGCGCTCATGGCCGTGCAAGTCCTCGTCGACCACGGCGTCGCTCAGGACAAGATTGTGCTGGCGTGCTATGCTGCCGGAAGACTGGGCGTGCACCGCCTTGCAAAGGTGTTTCCTGGTATCACCATTGTTCTGTGCAATATGCTTGCGGATATTGAGGACCGCTGGGTTGAGAAGAAGTACTTCCGATGCTAGCCGTAGGCATATACATCGTACTCATATAACACGGCCGAGCTGCGCCGAGCCTACCTTTGCAGCAAAATTGATGAGTGCTCAAGTGGCAATACGAAAGCCTATTGCAAGAAAAGTGCATCGTAATACCATGGAGTAAGGCTGCTTGATTCATGATATTTGAGGGTCGCCAAGGGCTAAAATCCGTACCTCTGGAAAAGGCCGCATGTTCGCCTGCCAGACAGCCTGCAAGATCCATTGCCTCGCATATATGTCTTTCGCGGGTTCGCGCTGTTCGCACTCTGGACTGATCCCGGATTCACGGCTGCGATTCTCGTCATTGGCTCCCAATGCGGCTACAAATTGGCCGAACGAGACACCGAGGAGTGGACATGGTGGTGGAGACTACGGCTCCCGCGGCAGGGGACATTTTGACGCCGCTGACTGAGATCAGTTTCTCGCTAGACGAGTATTCAGATTTCAGGCCGAGAAAGGGACCCTTTTTTTTTTTTTTTTTTTTTTCCTCTTTAAAAGGATCTTATCAGCTCGGACGACTGTGAGATCGCGGCGCCGACAACGGAACTGAGGTGTTGGGACGAAAGTCCGAGTTCCATTGTCGGTGACGGCGATAATGCGGTCGGATGCCAAATTTTTTTTTTTTTTTTTTTTTTTTTTTTGCAAAGAATTTTCTTTCTTGCCTGCTCGCGTGATGCATCAGAGAATTCATCCAGAATCCATAAGGTCAGTAGTCAGTAGACAAGTAGAGTAAAGGCACCTTGGAGAATATTCTGGCCTATCTGGTGTAATTGCATGGGAGGCAACCTTCGGTTTAACCGAATAATGACGTATTTGCTGGAGCTGTCGGCACAAGTACGTTCTCCCGTCTACGTAGCTACGTAGTGCGGTGTAAGGTACCTTAGCTTCCTCGGATTTGACGGTTCTGGCGCGACCAGTACCTTAGTACAAGCATCATTACGCATAGGTCCAGGGAGCTATGCCCGCCAGCCCCTAGGAACCTTTTCATTTTCGTGACCATTACGACCTTGGTTTTCTCCTTCTTGGAAAAATCCAACAACCTCATCTCTCTCTGGCTACCTTGGTCTCCTGCTGCTTGTTTGCAATTGATACATCGCGACACATCTCTTGAGCTCTCTGCTTGCTTCCATTCACTCGTTTCGACATGACATCTCCATACTGCTAGATCTACCTTTACTCTACCACGACGTCAGACGAAAACATACCAGACTAATCTGCGATAATTAAATGCCTCCCACCACATCCGCGCTGAGGCGCATACCTCGCGCCGTTTCTCACAGATCACCCATCAGCTTATTCAAACCTACGCCGATATGCAGGCAACAGGTCGCCGCCCTCGCGCAAAGGCGCGCCTTCACTAGCCCTCCTCAGCGATCCCGAACAACACCTCCTACTACACCTCTCGCTAACTCCTTCTTCAACGCCCACGGTCTGCCCAAGGGCACCGCCATCCGATCCGTCTCCGGCACGCCACCGCCGGCACCTACTCCAAAGCAAAGGTCACGGCTCCTCCGCTTCGCGTACGCCAGCGCCGCGTGGCTCGGCGGCGGCATCATCTTTGTCGGCCTCGGCGTGGTTGGCTTCTTTCTCTACGATGCATCCACTTACAAGGAACACCCAGACCAGAATGAGATCGAGGTATCTGAGCTGGCACTGAGCCCCAAGCGAGGCGGGCCAAAGAACCTGCCCATCGCCGAGGTGCTGATTGACGACCTGGACAACGAACACATGAAGAGCGTAAAGGAGAAGCCCAAGCTTGTTATTCTCGGTGGCGGATGGGGCGGAGTGGCTCTGCTCAAGGAGCTCAACCCCGACGAATACCACGTTACCGTTGTTTCCCCGACAAACTACTTCCTGTTTACGCCCATGCTGCCTTCTGCTACTGTTGGAACCCTGGAACTGAGATCACTGGTTGAACCCGTCCGCCGAATCCTCGCCCGCGTTCACGGCCACTTCATCCGTGCCAAGGCCGAGGACGTTGAGTTCTCCCATAAGCTGATTGAGTGCTCTCAACCCGATGCCTTTGGTAACGAAACCCGATTCTATGTCCCCTACGATAAGCTGGTCATCGCCGTTGGATCTACCACGAACCCCCACGGTGTCAAGGGACTGGAGAACGCCCACTTCCTCAAGGATATCAGCGATGCGCGCAAGGTTAGAAACCAAGTCATGCACAACCTCGAGCAAGCCTGCCTGCCTACGACCGCCGACGAGGAACGCAAGCGCCTCTTGTCCTTTGTCGTCAGCGGCGGCGGTCCCACGGGAGTCGAGTTCGCGGCCGAGCTATTTGACATGCTCAACGAGGACCTGACGCTTCACTTCCCCAAGCTCCTCCGCAACGAGATTTCCGTCCACTTGATTCAGAGCCGCAGCCACATCCTCAACACGTACGACGAGACCCTCTCCAAGTACGCAGAGGAGCACTTCGCCCGCGACCAGGTTGATATTCTCACAAACTCCCGCGTCAAGGAGGTCCACCCAGACAAGATTACCTTTACGCAAAAGCAGCCCGACGGAACTCTCCTCACCAAGGAACTCCCCATGGGCTTCTGCCTCTGGTCAACGGGTGTCGCCCAAGCCGACCTCTGCAAGCGTCTCTCCTCCAAGCTCGGCCCCTCGCAGACGAACCGTCACGCCCTCGAAACGGATACCCACCTCCGCCTAAACGGAACACCCCTCGGCGACGTCTACGCCATCGGCGACTGCTCGACGGTGCAGAACAACGTGGCCGACCACATCATTACTTTCTGCCGCGGCCTCGCCTTCAAGCACGGCAAGGACCCCGAGACCCTCGAGCTTCACTTCAGCGACTGGTGCGAAGTCGCCAACGACGTCAAACGACGCTTCCCCCAGGCCGTCGGCCACCTGAAGCGCCTCGACAAGCTCTTTGAGCAGTTCGACAAGGACCAGTCCGGCACCCTCGGCTTCGGCGAGCTCAGGGAGCTCCTCAAGCAGATCGACTCCAAGCTCACCTCCCTCCCCGCCACGGCGCAGCGCGCTCATCAGCAGGGCCAGTACCTCGCGCACAAGTTCAACAAGATGGCGCGCACGTCGGACGGGCTCAAGGCCAACATGGTGCTCGACGGCGACATCGACTCGGTGGTCTACAAGGCGTTTGAGTACCGCCACCTCGGTAGTCTCGCGTACATTGGCAACTCGGCCGTGTTCGACTGGGGCCAGGGCTGGAATTTCGCAGGTGGCTTGTGGGCTGTGTATATGTGGCGGTCCGTCTACTTTGCGCAGAGCGTGAGCTTGAGAACGCGGATTCTGCTTGCCATGGATTGGGCCAAGCGCGGTCTCTTTGGAAGAGGTATAATCTTTCCCCCTTACCACATTCTGTCTGTTTGACTTGGAGCGTTTGATAAACTAACACGTGTTTTACAGATTTGATGAGCTACTAGAAAGCAATGATGCGTTTTTTTTTTTGTTGCAAAGAATGAATTGATTCTTTTCTCTTTTGTTAGCATACCCTGCCGGAGTACGAGGTACCGAAATGCAATCTTGCGAGAGATGGATGCATTAACATAGAAGTTACAGAACCCAGACAAGAAAAAAAAGATATAAAAAGAGATACGTAAACGGTCTCTAGATAATTTCATATGATTGTTCAAAATACCATTTCTTGCGTACTGATGTACCTGATGACCTTTCACGCCCTCTCAAATCTCTGGAGTTGGCTTGCACCGCTACTGCAACATGTACCTAGGAACAGACATATCAGACAAGTGTGCTGCTGAGGATCAGAAAGACGGTGATGCACCTCGCCTGAGGTAAGAATGTTGAAACGTAATTTTCATAAATGATATAATATAGAAGAAACAGCAAATCGCAACGCCTGGCCCCCTGATGCTTGAAAGCTGCTAAAGCTGATATAAGACCATGTACATTTTACAAAAATTTCCAACTTTTTTCTCTCTGTTTGTGCAAATCCCATGATTTTGTAAATCTCAAATTCGTCCTCATCCTCGCACCGAACATCAAATCTCGTCATTAAACTGTGAGTACTCGAAAGCACTGGACAGGCTTATTCCTCATCAGACTCTTCGTCGGGAACCTATCATTACTGTTAGTCATTGCAAAACAAAATGTTACAGTGAGCTCGAGAATCTCGACTTACCCCTTCGTGGAAATCCCGACCCTCCTTGGTGCCCTTGATGACACCGACGCGAATGCAGAAGTCGCCAAATCTCTCGCCAGTCTCCCTCTCAGTCGCATACCTCTTGAGCAGCGGCTTCATGATGGCCAAGATCTCGTCCTCCTTGATGCTCTGGCGGTACAACTTGTTCAGTCTCTGGCCGTGGTATCCACCGCCTAGGTACATGTTGTACGCGCCGTACGCCTTTCCGACAAAGGCAACCTCGGCAAGCCAGGGACGCGCGCAACCGTTGGGGCAACCCGTCATACGCATGACGATCGAGTCCTGGCGCAGTCCATTCTCCTCGAGGCAGTCCTCGAGCTTAGTGATCAGCACAGGCAGGTAACGCTCCGACTCGGCCATGGCGAGACCGCAAGTGGGGAAGGCGACACAGGCCGACGAGCTAAGGCGCATGCCGGAGAAGTGGACGTTATCGAGCTTGTACTTCTTCATGAGGTCCTTGATGGAGTCGAGATCCTCGTCGGCGACGTTGCTCAGGATCAGATGCTGGTTACCCGTAAGGCGGAACTCGCCCTTGTGCACCTTGGCGATCTCACGGAGACCAGTCTTCATCTGGAACTCGGGGGTATCCTCGATGCGACCGTTCTCAATGAAGAAGGTGAAGTGGTTGAGTCCTGTCTCGTCCTTTTGCCAGCCGAACGTGTCAACGTTGGACTTGAACTCGAAGGGCTTCTCCTTCTCGAACTTCTGTCCCCAGAGCTCCTCAACCTTGCCGCGGAAGACGTCGACGCCCATGTCATCGATGGTGTATTTGAGACGGGCGTGCTTGCGGTTCTTGCGGTCACCGTGGTCGCGCTGGACGAGCATGATCTTCTCGCAAGCAATGTGGACC